ATGGAACCAAATCACAGTGAGTCAGACTAACTGAAATAAGCCTGGCCTATTTGGTAAACTTGTTTTATGAAACAGGCCTCGAGGTGTTAGAAGTCAGAAGACACATACATAAGTTAATTTATGATTTGTTGTCTGTCTGAACCAAAGAAATAAATGCGATCATATTTTTTCCATTGCATCGTATTGCATCGAATCGCATTGTGTTGAATTGGATTGAATCGAAATCGTATCGCATCACAAGCTACTTCATATGTATCTTCAATGTATCGTATTGTTGGCTATGCATCGAGATGCATATTGCATCGGCCTCAGTTATGGAGATGCACATCCCTACAATCTATCTATCTATCTATCTATCTATCTATCTATCTATCTATCTATCTATCTTTTTTTTCATTTCTCTTATTTGAATCACACATATGAAACACTTCAGTCCCCCGGCTACATAATTTCATAATCAAACCACACCCCCTCACACACCCTCTCACCCACACACACACACACACACACACACACACACACACACACACACACACACACACACACACACACACACACACACACAGGGTGGATTATGGCTATAAAACATCATCAATCTGACTTATATCAATAAAAACCACGCGCATCACACAACCTTATCAAAACAAACACACTAGGACCTTGTAATTATAATATGAACACAACATTAACATATGCAAATGAGCTGCATATAATCAGACGTCGACAGCTGATAACGTTATTCTCACCTCTCCTTCATTAAATGCTTGATTCGCGATATGGCGCTCTCGTCGATCTTTCTCAGAAACGTTTTAAATCTCTCCCTCTTGTTTTCCAGCATTCTTCCTCTACGCAGATCGACACACGCCGACAAAACACGCCGCTGAACGCGGATGCGATGATCCGGTTTCTCTCCGGCGTCCCATGAACGCGGCCTGATTAACAAAATGAGACAAAATCGGACCAAGCGCTGGCGGCCAATCAGCGCGCATCTGATCAGCCACGGAGCCCAATCACTGCGCGACACTCTCTCTCGGACTCCGCCCATGCCCTTTTATGGGCAGGACGCGTGTGTGCATGCAACGTGGTGGTAAGGAGGAGGAAGTCAGGGTGGAGAGCTAGTGTGGAAGGCTGAATATACACTGATTGTATTACAGACCGGCCTAGTGTTTTTAACTCTGTTCTCACATGTTTTGATACGATCATGAGTTTGAACAGGTCATGCGCGTCTAAATGTTCACTAGTGATGGATTTGAGACTATCTATTAGGGATGGGAAGATTCCCCGATTCGCTCGGTGCATCGGCAAAAAAAGTTAAGGATGCGATGCATCGGCTTAAAAAGTGTGCATCGGCTACAACTTGGCATGTGCATCGCGATGCATCGTTTCTAACATATTTGCATCGGTAAAAACCGATTTATTTATATATAATTACTAGTGGATGGCTAGACTTTTATTGTTTACAAAGTGACCAATATTTTATATGTAGATTGATTTCTCCTCTCGAAACTGTTTCTCAAGCGCGTTCTCTCATCACCGCAGCACGTGAATATGACGTATCACAACAACACTACAGAGACCTGAGGAAAAGCAGGGATTAAAGTCCAAAACCTGACTTGAAATAACCTAACAAATCAATCGGGGCTAAAGCAGTTCCATAAACGACAGTGTAAGTTCACACAAGCTAACTAGCCTAATTTGTGCACGCTTATTCTTAAGCATCCCTTAATGTCGATCATGGATCAAATCGATCCACCATGACAAACAGCGAATATATCTGTGCTGTTTGATGCATTTGAGACGTTGTGTTTTCCTCAGTGCATAACTGACATGTCACAAGTATATTTTTCCTCTGTGAATGTTAAAAAGTCATGCAAATATATCCATTTTGCTTGCTGTCAGGAGCGAGCGAGGCATACGCGAGTGAACGAGCAATAAGTCAAATATGCATTTTGCTCAAATATTCATTGTTGGACATTAAATGTGCCTTTTGTAGAATTTTAAACCTACATATAGGTGTATTCTTATGATAGCAGTACCTGTAAAGGGACTATTGTAATGGGTAAATAAAATGTAAGCTAATACAGTCCTAATTATCAAGCTTACTACGTAATTACTACTTAGTAGCAGTTAAAATGTAGTTTTAATTTAGTGATTTTAATGCTTTAAAGAGCAATGTTAGATTATAAAGGTTAGCTTTCAAGCAGAAGTTGCCACAGTGACTGATTTTGATCTTTATTCAATTTGTTTTATGGAACCAAATCACAGTGAGTCAGACTAACTGAAATAAGCCTGGCCTATTTGGTAAACTTGTTTTATGAAACAGGCCTCGAGGTGTTAGAAGTCAGAAGACACATACATAAGTTAATTTATGATTTGTTGTCTGTCTGAACCAAAGAAATAAATGCGATCATAAAAGTCATGCAAATATATCCATTTTGCTTGCTGTCAGGAGCGAGCGAGGCATACGCGAGTGAACGAGCAATAAGTCAAATATGCATTTTGCTCAAATATTCATTGTTGGACATTAAATGTGCCTTTTGTAGAATTTTAAACCTACATATAGGTGTATTCTTATGATAGCAGTACCTGTAAAGGGACTATTGTAATGGGTAAATAAAATGTAAGCTAATACAGTCCTAATTATCAAGCTTACTACGTAATTACTACTTAGTAGCAGTTAAAATTTAGTTTTAATTTAGTGATTTTAATGCTTTAAAGAGCAATGTTAGATTATAAAGGTTAGCTTTCAAGCAGAAGTTGCCACAGTGACTGATTTTGATCTTTATTCAATTTGTTTTATGGAACCAAATCACAGTGAGTCAGACTAACTGAAATAAGCCTGGCCTATTTGGTAAACTTGTTTTATGAAACAGGCCTCGAGGTGTTAGAAGTCAGAAGACACATACATAAGTTAATTTATGATTTGTTGTCTGTCTGAACCAAAGAAATAAATGCGATCATATTTTTTCCATTGCATCGTATTGCATCGAATCGCATTGTGTTGAATTGGATTGAATCGAAATCGTATCGCATCACAAGCTACTTCATATGTATCTTCAATGTATCGTATTGTTGGCTATGCATCGAGATGCATATTGCATCGGCCTCAGTTATGGAGATGCACATCCCTACAATCTATCTATCTATCTATCTATCTATCTTTTTTTTCATTTCTCTTATTTGAATCACACATATGAAACACTTCAGTCCCCCGGCTACATAATTTCATAATCAAATCACGCTTTGCTGCAGAAATTACCATTTCAACACAATTTCCCCGGATCATCTCATCGAAATCGTATCGCATCACAAGCTACTTCATATGTATCTTCAATGTATCGTATTGTTGGCTATGCATCGAGATGCATATTGCATCGGCCTCAGTTATGGAGATGCACAATCTATCTATCTATCTATCTATCTATCTATCTATCTTTTTTTTCATTTCTCTTATTTGAATCACACATATGAAACACTTCAGTCCCCCGGCTACATAATTTCATAATCAAATCACGCTTTGCTGCAGAAATTACCATTTCAACACAATTTTCCCCGGATCATCTCGTCGCTTTTGCACACATGACTGCGCCACATGACATCTCATGACCCGCATACGCCCTTTTATGCATAAAACATAGCGGGAGCAATGTGTGTGCAGTCAGTATTTGGAGGAAGGAGTTGACACAGAAGCTCACGTTACACTCATCATCCGAACAGAGGAGGCCCTGTACCCACCGCATGCAGGACAAATATCAGATCCACAGCCAGTTCCTGATATCAGACCGCAGCTCGTCTGACCTCTGGATGTTCCTCATGGAGACTTCTGTCATTTCATGAGCCCAGTTTGTTCAGTATAATTATGAGGTTACAAATGCACACTGGAGTTAGTCAAAAATGGGCTTTTAACGTCATCTGCAGTTGATTTCAAGACTCACTGCTTGCTACAATGCTTTTGTTGAAAAAGAGGCAGCAAATATTGCCAATCATACAGCAAACACTACATTTTTATACAAAAATATAATGCAGTACTCCAAGAAAGTTTCTTGCTTATGCTAAACTATTCTTCAGCTGTTAAAGGAAAAGTTCACCCAAAAATGAAGAAATGTAGCATTGCATCAGTGTCTCAGCAATGGGTGCCGTCAGAATGAGAGTCCAAACAGTTGATAAAAACCACAATAATCCACAAAATCCAATAATTCAGTTAATCCTGTGAAGACAAAAACTGCGTTTGTAAGAAACAAATCCACCAAATTGTTATTTCTGGTTAAAATACGAGTCCATAATCCAAGATAACACATGATAATGTGGTCTGGTCTGAATCAGGAGAGAAATCTGCACAGATCAAACACCTTTACAAGCCAAAACAGCTCTAAACATATATGTGGCTGGATTTTGATGTGAGAGACAACAGGAGATGGACTTTTTCACTGGAGGAAGCGTTATTATGGATTATGTATTTTAGTTAAAAGCGTCTTAATGCTGGATTTGTTTCAGCTTTTGGCTTCTCCAGATGTTAACTGATGGACTGGAGTGCTGTTGATTACTTGTGGATTATTGTGATGTTTTTATCAGCTCTCATTCTGACGGCACCCATTCACATCCATTGGTGAGCAAGTGATGCAATGCTACATTTCTCCAAATCTGATGAAGAAACAAACTCATCTCGGATGGCCCGAGGGTGAGCACATTTTCCGCAAATTTTTGGCTGAACTACTCCTTTAGATCAGCTAAATATTTGACCAAACGCACAAACGTTGCATCTCTGGTGTGAAGATAGTCCTCTCCGCCAGCTCTACAGACAGATGGCCTCCAGGTTCTCAGCGTGCCGCTTCACTTCAGGTGTTCGTCCTGATCTCCAGTGTCACCCATAAGATCTCTAGCTCAACTGGTTTTGGGTTTCCACTAAGCAGGGCCTGAAACCTCTCACCTGTGCAGCGTTGCCTGGCTACCCTCATCTTTAATTTAACACGGCAGACTCGACTGCAGACGGCCACGTACGCCTCGCTCTTCACCATGCAGGAGTCAGAGAAGACGACGTGCGACCCAGAGCCCATGCAGAACGGAGAGGCCATGAGTCCGGACGCGCAGGACTCCAAAGGACCGCCGGGCGACGAGGAGAACCAGGGAGCCGTCCCGTCGGCCCCGCCGCTTCCCCAGGAGCCTCCTCCGTGTCCGAGGCCCAAACTGGTGTTTCACGCACAGCTCGCGCATGGGAGCCCAACGGGACGCATTCACGGCTTCACCAACGTCAGGGAGCTTTACGCCAGGATCGCAGAGGTCTTCAACATCTCCGCTTCTGAGGTACAGCGAGTCTTTGGTACTCAGCAAAATGTATTTTTCTGGGTCAAAGGGAAAGGTTGCTGGTCTGAGGAGTGGTGTGTGGGTCATTTGTTTCTTGGGAAGTATGTTGGAGTTTGCTCTTAAGGTAGTACATGTTGTGTGTACATAAGTTGTTGAAAGTTGCTAGATAATATATCACCACTACATTAGTTATTTTGATCATTATTAAAATTGATAATATAATTTTTTTTTTAGTTCGGTTACAAAATTATGCAAAAATAATTACATGCTAGTGGCTAGTAAATGGGAGGAAAATACAAATGAATAGATAGATAGGTAGATAGATAGATAGATAGATAGATAAACAAATAAATGAATATTTTAATTGATGCCAGGGGCAAATAAAGAAATAAATAAAATGGTAAAAAAAAATTCATATATGCCGGTGACTAAATAAAAGATATATGAAATAAATAAATAAATGTTACATGTTGAATATATGCCAATGGTTAATAGGTTTTTGTAGTAAATGATAAATACATGAAATCAACAAATTAGTTATTAAAAATAATATATAAAAAATTTAAATGTTTTCAAATGTGCCAGTGGCTAGTAAATTTAAACAAACAAACAAACAAATAAATAAATAATAAAATTAATGTTCTCCTACACCTAAAACTATTTAAAAAAACATTTTTCTTTAGTAAAATGCCTTGAACAATAATAATAATAATAAAAAAAGATTAAACAAAACAAAAGTTCCAATGTTTTAATTTTGTGTTTTGACATTACTCTGCTTAATATATATATATATATATTTTTTAAAGGAACATACCAAAATGTTTTCTCATATGCCTGAGCCCAGAACTTTCTGGAAAGTGAATTTTTATTCCATCAGTCAGCTTAATCCTTATGTAAATAAATAAATAGCTTTGTATGTTAATACAAGAATATCATTGAATATGTATAGATTTTAATATGAACATACTGATTTTTAAAAAATGTATTAGCTTTAGTATTTATATAAACTATAAAAATGTAACTATTACTAAACTACTAAATAAAAAGTATTTTATTCATGTGTCGCTGCTTGAATATCACCAGATCAACTTACATAACCGATCAGGTTTATCTGTAATCTTTTCTTCAAAAGCACTGAACTGTAAAAATCACACGGCCTTCAGGAGAAAATATCCTTCAAGAACCTGTTATCAAGTCATTTCAGGACTATCTCAGAGGTCAATTTTTTATCTGAAACCAAACAGTTTGAGTCGAAAGTTTAAAGGATCACGTGAGCATTTATGCGTTCAAACCACTCGTTACTTACATTTATAGCTCGGTAAAGCTGAAAATATTGAATACCAGTCGTTTTAGCTACAGATTAAGTCTAGTACATAAAGATTTTAATGGATATTAACATGGAGACTCGCGCCTGAGTGTTAGCATCTGTTAGCATCGTTAAACATTGTAATACGAATACAAATCATGTTTTAATCAACATTCATCGAAGCTAACTCCGTTAACACACAACATTAGTTATATTCATTGGAGAGTTACCTTAAAAGTGCTGGTTAACCACGAGACTGGGCGCCTCATGGTGGAAAACGTCATTTTACTCTTATTCCTAGACTTAAGAATAAGAGTGATTCATAAAGGTTCCTAAGTGTTAAGACTAGGTCCCAGCTCCTGAATTATTTAAGAGAGCTGAAGAGGTCTCCTAACCTCGTTAGGAGTAGCAAGATGGCAGCACAGAGGAGGAAACAAACACTTTCCAGCGAAGACATGGCATATTGGAGTTATGTGATGATATGGAGTTGATAAAACAATACAAACTTGATTGTCAAGATCAAAAAGTCGAAAGACAAAGTAAGAAATGTAATAACCTCTTCCACTCAACAAGTCAATGCTCTAACTGCAGAAATGTAGTAATTACATTTTTTTGCCTGTAAAATTGGAAAAATGCAGCAATGCACCGGTGATGACACGGTAAGCAGGGTCTTGCATATTGTGGCACTAACCCCACCGAACACAACAGTGGCCAAAAGTGATTTTAATGACCCCACATTTCACTTAAACCACTAAAATACAAAGGGTGAAAAACACTGACCAGTGTTGCCAACTGCTTTCAATCGAAAGTAGCTAAAACTGGTCACTCAATGTTGCTAGACGACCTCATAAAGGTGCGTTCACTGATCTATATTTATATTTATATTTATATAGATCAGTGAACTCGCCTTTATGACTTCATGGGAATGTAGATACGGCTTGTCCAAGAAACTGATTTTGTTGCTAGGCTTTTGAAAAAAAGTCTCTAAAGGAATGCGGAAGAGACAAAAATCACTAAACTGGCACACTGACTACAAAATAAGTTATGAATATTTCATTGGTCCTCTTGTTTTTGCATGTGTTCATAATTTCTTTGTATGACAGCACGCCAAAGATTATGACCGCACAATTTGGCATGTTTCATTGCATTATTATCACAAATAAAACAACCGACTCTGAGCAACTATGCAATATGCTTACAAAATCTTGAACATTCATTGATTTATTTTTTTTAATTAAGGGTAACCATATTGCAAAAATTAGGCCACTTTTATGAGGATTGTGGGCTTTCATGGAGTCTAAAATACAAAGGGTGAAAAACACTGACCAGTGTTGCCAACTGCTTTCAATCGAAAGTAGCTAAAACTGGTCACTCAATGTTGCTAGACGACCTCATAAAGGTGCGTTCACTGATCTATATTTATATTTATATTTATATAGATCAGTGAACTCGCCTTTATGACTTCATGGGAATGTAGATACGGCTTGTCCAAGAAACTGATTTTGTTGCTAGGCTTTTGAAAAAAAGTCTCTAAAGGAATGCGGAAGAGACAAAAATCACTAAACTGGCACACTGACTACAAAATAAGTTATGAATATTTCATTGGTCCTCTTGTTTTTGCATGTGTTCATAATTTCTTTGTATGACAGCACGCCAAAGATTATGACCGCACAATTTGGCATGTTTCATTGCATTATTATCACAAATAAAACAACCGACTCTGAGCAACTATGCAATATGCTTACAAAATCTTGAACATTCATTGATTTATTTTTTTTAATTAATGGTGAAATTTCCTAGGCCGGACCTCACTTTTGGCCACTACTATATGGCAATTAATCAACTTTCAAACTGACCGCCAAACCATATTGCAAAAATTAGGCCACTTTTATGAGGATTGTGGGCTTTCATGGAGTTGTTGGAGCCACTGATTGAACTCATGTTCCCATCATTGCTCCAACTGTAAACGAGGAGACGTACCAATAGAAAACGAAGCATCAGTAATCATTTGTGATAATTTTGCACAATGCAAAGCATAATTTTTTTTTAAAAATATTACAATATTTCAGTGTCTTAATTAAATGAGTTTATTGTAGTTACATTAAATGATTGGTGTTGTGCTGCTGTGAGCAGGCTCACTATTGGCTGATTCAGAGGTCGAGGTCAGCCATTTTGTGTTGACATCATTGATTTCCTAGGCCGGACATCACTTTTGGCCACTACTATATGGCAATTAATCAACTTTCAAACTGACCGCCAAACCATATTGCAAAAATTAGGCCACTTTTATGAGGATTGTGGGCTTTCATGGAGTTGTTGGAGCCACTGATTGAACTCATGTTCCCATCATTGCTCCAACTGTAAACGAGGAGACGTACCAATAGAAAACGAAGCATCAGTAATAATTTGTGATAATTTTGTACAATGCAAAGCATAATTTTTTTTTTAAATATTACAATATTTCAGTGTCTTAATTAAATGAGTTTATTGTAGTTACATTAAATGATTGGTGTTGTGCTGCTGTGAGCAGGCTCACTATTGGCTGATTCAGAGGTCGAGGTCAGCCATTTTGTGTTGACATCATTGTAGTGCTTAGTTCACAACACTTAAGTGTCACCTCAGTCAACACTTAAGAATCAGTCTCAGACTTTACTGAAAGCGTCTTTATAAAAGTCTCCTACTCTTAGAAAAGTCCTACTTTTTACTAAGAATTTTTGACACTTAAGTCAAAGCTTAAGACTATTCTTAAGAGCATTTCTGAGAAGTTTTATACATACGTGTCGGTTTTCTCTGTGATCTGACGAGCGTTTGTCTGTTTTTCCCTCCAGATCCTCTTCTGCACGCTGAACTCGCACAAAGTGGACATGCAGAAGCTGCTGGGCGGTCAGATCGGTCTGGAGGACTTCATCTTCGCGCACGTGAGGGGAGAAACCAAAGAGGTGGAGGTCGTTAAAACCGAAGACGCGCTCGGCCTGACCATCACCGACAACGGCGCGGGATACGCCTTCATCAAAGTGCGGTAACCAGGGTAACCAGCTAACGGTTTCCTGGGAAACTAGTCTAGAGGGTTGAGAATCTTAACATTTGAGCCCCCGGGAAAACAAAACAAAACAAAAGCAATGAATGAATGAATCAAATAACTTTGGAATATTTTGGAATAATTACGGACCAGTTTGAGAAAATTAAGAATTTGAGCCTCCAAAATGAATATACAGCAAAATTAAAAATACAGCAAAATTAAAAAAAAAGAATATATCAATCAATTAATCAATAATACTTTTGGAATAATTTTGTACCAGTTTGGAATATTGAGAATCGTAACATTTGAGCCCCCGAAAATACAAATAAAAAGAGATTTAAAAAAAGAAAAGACATAAAAGAAAGAAAGAAATAAAAAAGTATATATATATATACATGCAACAAAATGAAAACAAAAGCAAAAAAGAGAATGAATGAATGCATAACTTTGGAATATTTTGGAATAATTACGGACCAATTTGGGAATATTAAGAATTTGAGCCTCCAAAATGAAAATACAGCAAAATAATAATAATAATAATAAAACAACAACAACTCAAAAGTCAAAGTTAAATTGCACAAACAGCATGCATTTTGCAATGAACTGTTACTTCTGCAGGGAAATTAAAGGATATAAATTTATATATAAAAAAATAATAACAAAAAAAAAATAAAACAAAGCAGTTAAAAATACAAGTAAAATATAAAACAGTTATAAGCATGTAAGAAAAACTGTGTATTTAAATGTAAAAAAGCAAAAAAACAAACAAATGTACACCAGAATCAGTTAAATATATTATGTTTTACATGATTATGTAATATATCTACATATATTACATTATATTATTATACTGTCATATTATGTCATATGTTTTGTTTAAGAGGATAAAGGAAGACAGCACCATTGACCAAATAAAGACGGTGTGTGTCGGCGATCACATCGAGGCCATTAATGACCAGAGCATTGTGGGATGTCGGCATTATGAAGTGGCGAAGATGCTGAAGGAGCAGCTGAGAGGAACGCCGTTCACCCTGCGCCTGGTCGAGCCCAAGAAAGCCTTCGGTGAGACAAACAAACAAACAAACACACAAACACACACACACACACACAAACAAACAAACAAACAAACACACACACACACACACACACACACAAACAAACAAACAAACAAACAAACACACACACACACTCTCTCTCTCTCACACACACACAAACACACACACACACACACACACAC